AGCAGTGGCGCGGGAGCGCTTCGCTGTCTTTACGAGTGCTGCAGTTAGCTGCTGCTGCAGCACGTCATCAGCAGCTTCAGCAGCAAGATAATATTCTTTCTGCTGCTGCTGCTGCTGCTGCTGCTGCTGCTGCTGTTGCTGCTGCTGCGCGGGCAGCAGAAAGTGCTTGTGCTGCAGTGAGCTGCTGCTGGTTTGAGCTGCTGTTTCGTTGTCTTGCTGCAGCTGTGCTGCAGCAGCGGTTGCAGCAAGTTGGTGCTGCAGCAGCTGCTGCTGCTGCTGGTGCTGCTGTATGAGTTGCTGCTGCAGCAGGTGCTGCTGCAGCAGATGCTGCTCTATATTCAAAGACAATGCTGCATGCATAGCAGCACGAGCAGCAGCAAACAGCCCCAAACGACAAAGCGATACAACCCGGACCTCCATTAAGGGATAGAAACGCAGACTGCCTATTGTCTCTGCTAGTCTCTCATCAGCATCTGCTGCTGCTGCTGCTGCTGCTGCTGCTGCTGCTGTTTGTGGTGGTGGTGGTGGTGGTGTTGCTGTTGATGCTGCTGTTGTTGTTTGAGATTGTTGTGCTGGTTCTGCTGCTGCTGCTGCTGCTGCTGTTGCTGCTGTTGGTAGTGCGGTTGTGTGTTCTTTGCCTGAGCAAGCTGCTGCTGCTGTTGCTGCTGCTGCTGCTGCTGCTGTTGCTGCAGTTGATGCAGCAGCAGCACCAGTAGCAGCAGCAGCAACACCCCCCGCCGTACGGGGCGTGCTAGCAGCTGCATGCGCACTCCTTGGCATCAGCATTTTCTGCTGCTGCTGCTGCTGCTGCTGCTGCTGCTGCTGCTGCTGTACGAGCAGCAGCGCAGCACGAAAGTAGCTGCTGCAGAGTCTCCACGCAAGCGAAAGCTCATCAGAGCGCAGCAGCAGATCTCTGATTCTTGCTGCAGCACGAGGCAGCAGCAGCAGCTGGATAGAAGGAACGAACCCCCACCGACACCAAAGAGCAGCAATAAGCGGCAGCAGCTGCTGCAGCAGCAGCACGCGCGCTCGCACCCACCGAAAACCCCCAAACTTATATAAACACTGCTGCAGCAGCTGCTGCAGCAAACCCGATAAAGCACCATAAGGAAGAAGAGATAGAGGTGTACTCTCAGATACTCCTGCTGCTGCTGCTGCTGCTGCTGTTGCTGCTGCTGCTGCTGTTGCTGCTGGTGCTGCTGCTGCTGTTGCTGCTGCTGCTGCTGCTTTTGCTGCTGGTGCTGTTGCATCGGTAGAAGCTGCTTCTGCTGCACTTACAGCAGCAGGAGGCACAGCCGGAGCAGCAGGAGATGCAGCAGCAGCAGCAGCAGCTTCAGCAGCAGAACTAGCTGCAGCAGGAGCTGCAGCAGCAGCAGCACCGTTTTCCGCAGCAGCATTACCTGCCTCTGCAGCAGCAACCACAGCAGCAGCACGCGCACCACCACCACCAGCACCACCACCACCAGCACCACCGCCAGCAGCACCAGCAGCAGCAGGAGCAGCAGCAGCAGGAGCAGCAGCAGGAGCAGCAGCAGCAGGAGGGTGTAATTTATTTAGTTGGTGCCTGAGGCAGCAAGGAAGAGCATTAGAATGAAGGAGGTTTCCTCTCCCGCGGAGCTGCGTATACACCCCAGCAAAAGAAGAACGCTGGCAGTG